TATTAGATCACGTCCAAGAAGCATTATTTATCCTCCAAAGTGGGAAGATTCCCTCCATTAATATTTTCTAATTCCTCCCGTTCTTTAGTAATTTATCAGAGAGGCTGTGCAGCAGAGAATTATTTTAAAAAATTAGAAACAATATATATGTACAAGTTTTCTATTTTGTCTAGATAAAAATATAATTTTAAGTGCAATTGAGAAACATTTTGAGGATCTAATTCTAAAAGATTAATTTTTTAGACTAATCAAATTCTAAAAGATTTTAAATACTGTAAATGTTTACTATATAATCATGCTTTTGAGACAATCATTAATTTTATAATTTTAAGATTTTTTTTTACAGCTACGTTTTTATTACTGAGATCGAGAAGTGAGGCAATCTTCGGTAATTAAACATCATAATGAAATTTAGTTGCATCTAAGTGATAAATGGTTTTGACAAGGGACATATTGGTTTACATAAAGATTAAGATAAAAATTTAAAAATCCAAATCTTATCCTATAAATTATGTCATTTGTTAATTAATTCATTAATTCAGCAAACATTTGTTGAGCATTGTGTATGTGCCAGATGCAAACTGTGCTACATACTGGTGATAAAAAAGTGATGAAAATAGACACGCTTTTTGACACTACCCAAATGTTCATTTCAAACTGATGTTAGTTACTCTAATAAGGCATATTGCCCAGACAGAAAGTCTAATGAGCTTTCAATTGGCCATGAGTAAATAATTAATCATGACATCTCATGAGCGCCTAATTTTTTTAAATGATGTTTTAAGATGAAGTATATAAAACAGTGTAACACATATACTTAATAATTATTCTGATTTATGTCCGTTTTTATACACCAGAGAGACATCTTAAGTTATTTTTAGCATTTTTTTCTCTCTTCATTTTGTGGCATGTCACTAGTGGTATTTTAAAGTTGGATAAGAAAATATTTTCAGTGAAAATATGGTTTATTTAAAAAAAATTTTTACACAAAACCAGCCTCATGTAAAGAGAACTTTGATTTACTGGAAATTTAACATGGAAATATTAATGCTTTCATTTCTTTGATCTAATTCTTCCTTTTCTTTGGTCTCACTTTTTCCCTCTACTGGGCCAGAAGAAATAATTTTCTTTTTTTTTTTGGTGAGAAAGATTGGCCCTGAGCTAACATCTGTTGCCAGTCTTCCTCTACTTTGTATGTGGGTTGCTGCCACAGCATAGCTTGAGGAGTGGTATAAGTCCGCACCTGGGACCCAAACCTGCAAACCTGGGCTGCTGAAGCAGAGCGCGCTGAAGCTAACCACTACACCACCAGGCTGGCCCCAAGAAGAAATAATTTTTAAAGCCTTGAGAAATATTTCTTTATAACAAATGCCAAATACACATGATTTTTCAACTTACTAGTTTCCACTAATTTTCTGTAAGAATTTACAAAGACAAGATAAAATTTTAAAGCAAAGGAAATAATAATATATATTAAGTGGATAATATAAAAAATGACAGACAATAAAATCAACAGCGTTAAAAATACTAGTATGTATGCTAAGCTAATTTTTACCCCCTAAAGTACAAATATGAATGTCTATAAAATATAAATTGTTCCATATATGAATGTATTTTGCCTTACATGTTATTTACTGATACTCTGATTATTATTTCTCAGGTTTGAATAAATATAAAAATTAAATATATGACAGGAATTAAATAGAATGCTTAAAATTGATAACTGCAGTATTTCATCCATTTGTTTTAATTGATTTGGAAAATATGGCAATTGTCATGTTACATTTGTGTTTATTATACCCAAAGCAATCTGTAACATAAAACTCACTTTGTGTAAATATTTAAATTAAATTGTGATTACATGTGCATTTTGTGGACAGTTTAATTGCATTTTCAATTATTCAATTGTTCATTTAATGTTTATAGGTATAACTGAGGAAACTGAGGCTTAGGAAATACACATGATTTGCCCAAATTCACAATTTTATTGAGAAAGTCAATATGTTCAATTAAAAATGTCATATCTCAGTCTCTCTTACAAGGAGTGTTGAACATGTCTCACTGTTGTTATGATCAATGTGGGCTAAATACAAGTTGAAACCTCTTTAAAAATTAGGCAGATTCAACTGGCCTGTGCCCTTTTTGACTTTCACATGTCCATCTACTTTCTGCATGAAATGTAGACATAAAGGTTGAAGCTGCAGGACCCATCTTGAAACTTGGAAAAGCTAAGAGGATCTAAAAAACCCGTATCCTTGTTACTGGACATTGTCCCGTCTCCTGGCTGATGTCACCCGAAATAAAAACTGTTTCCTTGCCATAAGCCTGGCGTTCCAGTTTTATTTGGCCCCTCTTGTGTGGCAGGTAAAGAACCTGGGTATGTATCCAGTAACACCCTGACATCTGAAGCCATTGCATTAGATATGAATGTCTACTTCCCAACTCAAGGTTATGTTAGAGAAAAACGTGCTCCTATTATGTGTAATACTCTGTTATTTGGATATTTTGTTATATCAAGACAAACTCAATCCTTAAATATTGTGCATATTTACAGGTGCATGGTGGATTGTGCATTTTATACAAATCCAATAAAAAGGAGTGAGAAAAGTATATACCAATTGATCAAAAGGTACAGAGGAAAACATGTGAAAGAACTTGTACCTCTGCCTGGAAACACATGACTGTGATACTTGTTATTAAAATGAGAAGAATGGTGGATAACCCCCAAGTAGAAAGAGGGAGATAACTCAAATATCTTATACTTTGGGTGTGAAATTTTCTTGAGTGTAATAGAACCTGATTCAAGGAAGCTCTGGGTTTAAACCACTTTTAATGGTTTATCTAAATTGTTATTTTGGAGTTTATTATTCATGTTTTCTCCTTACAAATAGAAGAAAATCAAAACCGTTTTTTCTTAATGAATTTTTAGTAGACAATCACTGTCAAGTTTACACACCCACACTATTTCCCATAACTGATCTTTATTGGTGAGTTGGGGGAAATTCATAACACTGACCTGTCCTTGGCTTTACAACACAAGCCTGGAACCTACCAACCTGCAAGCAATCCACCATAGTCTGGTCAGGGAAATGAGCGACCTTTTGCTAAGGCAGCTGCCAGTGCCATACAGTTTATCAGGCATGATAAAGTTACATGATCTTCAACCATCTTCCTAGGCGCAACCCAGCCTCAGCATGCTTGGATGCCGCGCCTGAGCAAGGGATGAAGCGCTGCTGACAACACGGCCCCTCCTGATTCATAAATGATTTTTGAGTGCTGCCATACAAAATATGCACATGTTCTGTGTAGTCTGCAACAGTGTGTTTCAAGTTTCTCTAAATCTAGCACCAAGTTTTTCCCAAAATAGACAGAATAGAAACATCTTTGCAAAGTAATCAGTAAAATAACTTATTATCACGTCTGAAACAGGACTCTGAAAATTACAGCTAGAAAGAAATTCTGAATATGGACGTATGTTGTATTAAATACATTTCACCCCTAAATATTTGCCCTTTCATCCGATAGGAAAATATAGCTGCATATTTAAGCTACAAAATTATGCCTAGAGATCTAAAAGTCTAAGTTATTGTTTACACAAGTTCAACTAATTGTATGATGTAAATAATTACTTAGCAGATGATATCAGCAGACATCTGTTTGCTTAATTTTGGAGAGGTTTCTCTTGAGTAGTCTAGCTTCATGAATTAATGCTGAAACATGGCTGAGTCACAAGGTAAGCAAAATAAACATTGATTTTAGTCAGAAGCCACAGAAATATTAAAAGTCACAGAAATATTTCTGAAATGGACTTTTAACAAATTGTCAGCTTAACCTACTCAACTTACAATCATACAGAGTATCTGGAATTTCTGTTTTCAGAGTTTTGTCTAAACTATTATAGTACCCCAGGCCTCAAATAATTTGATTCTACTGAGCTCAATTTTTCATTCCAAGGGATATGACAGTTCTATGTACTATTTTTTATCTAAATTATACATCTTATATAAAAGAGTGGAATATCTAGGCAAAATTTGAAAGTGATATTCACCTGACAATTGGATGCAATAAAAAAATCTAATATACATAATTATTTTGTTAACCTATGAATCATAAAGCTGTCACCATGAAAAATAATAATTTTGAGTAGCACAGGTTTAATTCATTTTTATAGTATTTCAATCCATTTAAGTTTTTATGATGTTCTCCTTCTTGAAAAATTCAGGGTTAACCTTTGCTATTTGATACGTGTTTTTTCCCCTAAAGATATTCTCATCTTCTTTATATTCAATAAAGTACAAATTCCTAGGTTCTGATATATTTTACAAGGCAAAGCACCTTACACTTTTTACCTTTTATAATGGCCCAATGATATAAATTGATATTTTTTAAATGTCATGTGAAACATAGTAACAATATAAGAAAATCCATGACCCTTACAATGTCATATCACATATTATTAATAGATTCGAGTTTAGAAATAGGAACTCTAGATTGTATTATTTGATTTCGCTGTTTATTGACTTAAAGACTCAAAATAATCTGGAGTATTAGGGCTATATATATTGTTAAAATCAAATTTTGCTAATCAATGCAAATGGATAAAAACATATTAAACATATTGATATCCAAAAATAGATATCAATAATACAAAAGTAAAAAAAATAAAGATATTTATTTAATTCTGGCTCCAGAACGCATTTTGTATATTTTTAGTAGCATATTTTACTTAATATTTTTGCCTGTTCTGTTTTCTTCAGTTTTTTTTCCAGTTCTATTGAGAAATAATTGACATACATTATTTATAAGTTTAAGGCATGCAGCATGATGGTTTGATTTACATCTGTTGTGAAATGATCACCATAATAGGTTCAGCTAACATCCATCTTATGATATAGGTACAATTAAAGGAAAAGGAAGAAGAAAAGAATAAAGGAAAAAAAAATTTTTTCTTTTGATGAGAACTCTTAGGATTTACTCTCAACTTTCATATATGTTATACAGCAGTGTTGGCTATAGACATCATGTTGTACCTTACATCCCTACTACTTATTTATCTTATAACTAGAAATTTATACTCTTTGACAACCTTCTTCCAATTGCCCCTCTCCCCGCCCCCCGCCTCTGACAACCACAAGTCTGATCTCTTTTTCTATGAGTTTGTATTTTTTTTGGATTCTACATATAAGTGAGATCATATAGTATTTGCCTTTCTCTATCTAACTTATTTCACTTAGCTTAGTGCCTTCAAGGTCCATCCATGTTGTTGCAAATAGTGAGATTTCCTCATTTTTTGTGGCTGAATAACATTTTATTGCATATATATACAACTTTTTTATCCATTCATCCATTGATAGACACTTAGGTTGTTTCTATGTCTTGGCTATTGTAAATAATGCTGCTATGAACATGTGGCTGCAGATATCTTTTCAAGTTAGTGTTTTTGAGACTTTTGGATATATTCCCAGAAGTGGAATTGCTGGATCATATGGTAGTTCTATTTTTAATTTTTTGAGGATCCTCCATACTGTTTTTCCATGGACTGCACCAATTTACAATCCAAGGGTTTGTTTTTCCCCACATCCATGCTAGTGTTTTTTATCTCTTGTCTTTTTGATGATGGCCATTCTAACAAGTATGAGGTGATATTTCATTGTGGTTTTAATTTGCAATCCCCTAACGACTAGTGATGTTGAACATCTTTTCATGTACCAGTTGGCCTTTTGTGTAGTGTATCTTCTTTGGAGAAATGTCTATTCAGGTCATTTGGCCATTTTTTAATTGGACTATTTCTTTTTTTGCTGTTGAGCTGTGTGAGTTCTTTTTATGTTTTGGATATTAACCCCTTATCAGATATACGGTTCGCAAATATTTTTTCCCATTCCATATGTTGTCTTTTCACTTTGTTTATAGTTTCTCTTGCCGTGCAGAAGATTTTTAGTTTGATGTCGTCCCACTTGTTTATTTTTGATTTTGTTGCTTGTGCTTTAGGTGTCATATGTAAAAAATCATTACCAAGACTCATGTAAAGGAACTTTGTTCCAATTTTTTTCTAGGAGTTTCATGATTTCAGATCTTAAGACTTACATTTAAGTCTTCAATCCATTTTGAATTAATTTTTGTGAGTGGTATAAGATATGGGTCCAGTTTCCTTATTTTACATGGGAATACCCAATTATCCCAGCACCATTTATTGAAGAGACTGTCTTTTCTCCATTGAGTATTCTTGGCTACCTTGCCAAATACTAGTTGACCATATATACTTGGGTTTATTTCTAGGCTCTCAATTCTGTTCTATTGGTCTATTTATCTATTTTTATGCCAGTACCATACTGTGTTTTGTTTTTTTTTTGTGAGGAAGATCAACCCTGAGCTAACGTCCATGCTAATCCTCCTCTTTTTGCTGAGGAAGACCGGCTCTGAGCTAACATCTATTGCCAATCCTTCTCCTTTTTTTTCCCCCAAAGCCCCAGTAGATAGTTGTACGTCATAGTTGCACATCCTGCTAGTTGCTGTATGTGGGACGCGGCCTCAGCATGGCCGGAGAAGCGGTGCATTGGTGCACGCCCGGGATCTGAACCTGGGCTGCCAGTAGCGGAGCACGCCCACCTAACCGCTAAGCCACGGGGCCGGCCCAGTACCATACTGTTTTGATGACTATAGCTTTATAGTATAGCTTGAAATCAGGAAATGTGTTACTTCCTGCTTTGTTCTTCATTCTCAGGAATTCTTTGGCTATTTGAGATCTTTTGTGATTCCATATAGTTTAGGAATGTTTTTTCTACTTGTGTAAAAAATGCCATTGGAATCTTGTTAGGGATTGCATTGAATCTATAGATGGCTTTCGGTAGTATTGATATTTTAACAATATTAATTCTTCCAATCTGTGAACGTGGGATACTTTTTCATTTATTTGTGTCTTTGATTTCTTTCATCAATGTCTGGTAGACAATTTCAGCATAAGACCTTTCACCTCCTTAGTTAAATTTATTCCTAAGTACTTTATTGTTTTTGATGCTATTATAATTAAGATCAATTTTTTTGCCTTTTCTGGTAATAAATTTGGGTTATTAAAAAAAATTATAGAATAAAAAAGGGTATCTGATCTTCATTTACCGTTTGGCCTTGTTGATCTCCAAAATGAAATGTTCATGGAATCAACATATCTTTATTGTCTAGTGATGACATTTAAAGAGCTATGCTAAGCAAGTAGATGTGAGGCTAAAATGAAGATTTTGATAAATTTATTCTTTGTGACTTTAAAGCACTTGAGTGAATATTTACTCAGATCTCTCTAGTCTCATAGGAAATAGAAATTAGTCAAGGAAAATCTCATAAGTAAATATATAAAAGTGATAACAGACTTTCAGAGGCATTCAGAGTCCTTGCTACACTCCAGGAAAGACTCCAGTGTGCATGTCACTGCTCTCTCCAGGAAGCCTGGCACTGAGCTACTTTATGGCTCTATTTCTGAGTTCAGGGGAGGTCATTCCTTCTACTTTCACTTTCTCTATTTGCTTCTTCACTCAAAAAGGGTAAGAAAGAAAGGATGAGTGGAAGAAAATAATTTAATGTATACCTACTCAATAAACTTATGTTGTATTGCCATTTCTCCAACAAACCTTAAATGAATTGGAGTAAGTTACAGAAAAAAGTAAAGCTAAATGTATATCTGATTTTGTTAATTTTTCAGTAGTCTTAAGACTGAAGAGTTTTTATTCATATATTTGAGCAGAATTTATTTTCATAATTACACATATTTATTGAAAATAAATTAGAAAGTACGAATAACTAAGAAGAAACCACCTCTAATGCCAAATATGTCCTCAATTAACTGAAAGGCTTTTGATGTTTAAGAATTTGACAGAGGTAAACACTAATGAGAATTCTGAGCATTGAAGTCACATCACTTTGAAAAACTGTTTAAAGAGTTAAATCAACTAACTCCTTAAATAACATATTCTAATTTGAGTGATACTCTTTCCTCTACTTTTTGTTTTTTAAACATTGTTTAAAAATTTTGCTCTTTATATTTTAGGACATTTATTTTATGTTATCATCATTATCTTCATTTAATATACATTTTTAATACCTCAGTATGATATTATTGATTTATGATCTACATTTCTTTTAATGGAAGAAAATGATTATAACCCATTTTCATGAAACAAGAGATTTTGATAAAACAAAAATTTTACCAAGCTACTACACTTTATTATTTTCATAATTTGAACTACTAAATGTGAGTGTTTTAAAATTATTATTTCACTACTAATGTTTAAATTTTGTCATGTCATTGATAAAATCAGAGCATCCAAATAATTTATGGTTCTTTAAATATTCACTGATTTCAGGGGCTGGCCCAGTGGTGTAGTGGTTAAGTTCGCGTGCTCCGCTTCTGCGGCCCGGGTTCACTGCTTTGGATCCCAGGTGGGGACCTATGCATGGTTCATCAAGCCATGCTGTGGTGGCATCCCACATACTAAATAGAGGAAGATTGGCACAGATGTTAACTCAGGGGCAATCTTGCTTACCAAAAAAAAAGTCATTCATTTCAAACATATATTGAGCACCTCCTCTGAGACAGGCCTCATCTAGTACATGTATGTCAGATTGTTTTCACTTGTGTAAATTAATCATAGACTTTTAAACCTGGAGGGAATTTTCAAAATTATAGTCTAAATCAGATTTCTCATTTTGAATATAAAAAAGTAACAAAATAACAACAAAGTCCCAGAGAACTTAAGTAGTTTCCCCAAAGGGTTGATAAACAAACTCTCTGAAATAACATAAATTATGAACATACATATTAAGAAACTTGGTGATTTCTATAAAATCACACTAAAATTCTCTAGAGTAGGCAAGGCAAGGGAAATTTTACAAAATAGAGATGATTTTTTTTTTATTGATGTTTTAATGGTTTCTAACATTGTGAAATTTTGGGTTGTACATTTTTGTTTGTCCATCACCATATATATGACTCCCTTCACCCCTTGTGCCCA